CCCCCCCGCGGCCCGGGGGCCTACGCAGCCCCCCGCGGCGTCGCAGCAGCGCGCTGCCCTCCGACCTTGGCGTTTTCATTTGTTGACTCGTCTCCTCTCGCCGGTGGCCGCTCAGCTGCGCCCATGCCTTCGGTTTTACAAGCGGGGTGTTCTTGCCGCTGCTGCGCATCTCCCTACCGTTTACTCGTTTTCCCCCGGCGCCGTTTGCTGTCGCTCGGAGGAACTAAATAAACGCCGACGTGGCCGTGACACCGTCACTGTGTTGGTGGCGCACCAAATCCTCTTCTCCTCACCCCCTTCCTACTTCCCTCGCAAATATCTCGCTGTTTTCGCCGCGACGCGCGAATATAGTTAACGGGGGAGGGGGGGGGGGCTACATCGAGAACGCGTGGCGTGGCGGGGGTGATCTTACATAACAAGCCAAGCGCGCCGGGGCCGGGGAAAAGCACGGGCGGCGGGGAGTGGTAGGATGGCTTACAAAGAGGAGCAACCGGAGAGGATGATAAAAAGTTTCGGGCCGGGCGAGGCTCGCGGCGGCGTGCAGCAGACGCGCCTTGCCAGATGGACGGGGCATCCGCATATTTCATGTTGTGGATGCAGGCCAAAATGGCGGGCGTGGCGCGGCGCCACCCGCCCCGCCACGCCGCGCCCCGCCACACCACCACGCTCCGCCGCCCGCGAAGCTGTTGCTGCCTGCTAGTCCGATCTGCGCGACGACAAATGATTTGTTTAAGCTGCACTTTGCGCCCCACTGCAGCTCGCCGCTGCCCTCCCTCATGGCGCCCCACCCCGCCCCGCCCCACTCCGTCCTCGGCTCTTTTGTGCGCCGTTCTGCAGCCGCGGAGTGAGAGAGAGTGTAATGGCCTTGCGCGTGGGAGTGAGCTGGGCAGCCCCCCTGAGGTGGTGAGCCCGGGGCAGCTCCCCTGGCAGCCTACCTACCGGGCGCTGCGGGGCTGCATTCCTGAACCCCCACCCCTTAGCTCGGCACAATGCACCCTGCTGCTGGCCGAGTGGCCAACCAGGCCAGAGAGGGCGAGGGGACGGACGGTCACCGGCAGCGATCGCGTCGACTTACTCGCACGCTGCACGATTTTTAATCACAATTATAGCTCGCTTGTGTGGAGGCGCAGCGGGAAAATAGACGTGTGATTGTGAGAATGTGGACCGGCGCCTCTTAGACCGGCCGTGGCATGATTAACCCCGCACACACTTTAGTGGTTAGGGATCATCCAGAAAACACGTCCGTTATTGTGCCGTTACGAACCCGCCACCTCATACCGCCTGCTTGGTAGGCAGCATATTGCCTGAAGTGCATGCGTGTATTGCGGAGTGGCCTTCCCCGAGTCGCACAGGCGCCAAGCTCTTGTAATTTGACGAATGAAACAAACGTACTTTCTGGCCGATCCCCTATACGCATGCACGGGTACGGACGTGTTTGCCTATCCTCGATGCGAGTAGGACACCCCCCCCCCCCTTCACGCGTTCATGCGGCACAGTACAAGTATAAAAGTGCGCGGTGTGAGTCAAGGAACACCCAAAAAGTACGTCTGTCATTCGCCGTCACGAATCTGCCAAGTTCAGGTTCTGCAAGCTCGCCTAGCGCCTGTAGATAGGCAAAATCTTGTCCGCAGTTCATGCGTGTTCTGCGGGATGGCCTACCCTGAGTCTCACAGGCGCCGTGCCGTGTGCCCGTAAATTGCCAAAGGAATCTTACTAAAACGCACGTACTTTCTGGACGATCCCTCAGCTATCTGGTACATGCTGGTTGAGCGACAACGGTGTGGTAGCAAACCGGGTTATCCTGGCCTTTCCGTCTAACGTCTAATTCCCAGCTGACCACTACAGCGCCCCGCTTTCCAGTGTGTCCCTCTCCAAGCGCTCAGCCCGCAGCTGCACTCGACGTGGAGCCGCGTGGCGCCTTGCCAAAGGGGTTCAAGGTCAGGGCTCTGGGGGCGCCCGCCCTGACGCCGTCGCCGTGCCGCGCCCGACGCTTCGAGGCGCACGTCGCCGCCGACCCGCTTCGACGCCCCGACTCTCCCCCTTCCCCCCATCTCCCTCTCACTGCCACTCTCCCCCTCACGCACTATTTTAGATGTTTTTTCTGCAAACATCTGAGGAATGCGGGACGCCGCGGCGCCGCCGCTTGAGTCGGGCTGATCCGATGGGCGGCTGCCAGGAGCCCCGCCTCCCCTTCCCTCCCCGCCGACGCGCCCCGCGGTCGCCCTACCGCCCCTCGCCCTCCCGCCGGCCCGCGGGGCTGTGGTGTGGGCCGTGCGCTTGCGGACCGGCCGCGCGGGGGCAACAGGAAATGGCACTCCGTGTCCTCCCGCCGGATGTTTAGGTGGCCCTGTATTCTTAGCGCCGCCGCCGTAGCGGACCGCCAAATGCCCAAAGAGGGTGGTGCTGTCCCGAAGGTCAAGTTCGTGACGCCTTACGCTATAGCCGTCCGCCACCGCGTGCACACCGCTCAGCTCAGCCCCCCGTCCCTTCTTCCACTACACATGCTCGGCACCCTGCTCCTCGTAATTCTCGTTAATCTGCTCCTCGCCATACTCGTCGTCGTGCTCCTCGCCGTGCTCCTCGTCGTGCTCCTCGTCGTGCTCCTCACCCTGCTCTTCAACCTCGCTCTCCCTCTCACCATGCTCCTTCACCCTCCTCCTCGCCCTGCCCTGCTCCTTTCAGGAACCCCGGGAGCTGTGACACGGGAAGGGGTGCGCGTCTCGCGAAGGAAAGGTCGACGCGCGCTGCCGTTATTCAAAACAAGCGACGGGCTTGGCCATGGCCAGGGTCCCCGTCGGTCCCCGCCCCGGCGACCCTGTGCCGCGCCGGCGCTGCCGGGGGGCGACCGACCGGCCTCGCGGCCTCGCGGGGACGCCGAGCACCAGGCTCCCCTGGGGACGGACAGCACAGCGTACAGGCGGCGCCACGGCGTCCTGGCGCCAGCGCGCCGCCACGAGAAAATAGCTGACGTATCTGCCTGCCTGTATATTTTTAATACGCGAAACGGACGCAGCATGCAGACTCTGTGTGGCGTGTTACGTTTTGCGAGGAGATAACTATTTTCTGCCTGGTCAGCGGGTGGTGCAGAGTCATCTCACATGCTCGAGTATCGGAGAAAGCTTGAGAAATGGAGATAAGACTGGGGG